AGAATTACCTAAAATATAAATCCATAATGTAAATTAAGAAAAATAATAAAGTTAAATGACAAGGGATGCGGTAAAGTAAAATACCTAAAAAATCAATAAAGAGTCGAAGAAACCAACAAAACAACAGGCAAAAGATGTGGGCACATACTTCAAAACATAAATTTAATGGCAGTAAACATATAAGATGCTTAAATTCACTCTCAATTAGGGCAATGCAGATTAAATAACAGTGAGTTACTTTTCTTTTCCCAGATTATCAAAAACAAAATGAAAAGCACTGACATACTACCTTGTCTCTGTCTTTATGCACAAATGTATATTGGTAAAATATTTTGCACAGTAATTCAGCAGATCTACCAAAATTAAAACATAACTTTTGACACAGAGATTTCCTTTCATAGAATCTACCCTTTTAAATATCTACTATGTGCACAAAGATGCATGTGCAAAGATATGCAGTCTATTTCCAGAACTAGTAAAATCAAACAAAAGAACAACCTGAAGGTGCCTCTGGATACCCTGTTGTTTAAGAATCCGCAAGATCTCAACTTATTTTCATTAGTTAAGAAAGTAAATTGTGTAGAAGAGCATGATTATGTGTATGACTCCATTTCCTAAAACTGAATAAGCCCCCCCACACACACACCCCAGGATGTGTGTTTAAATATGTATGTATGTAAGTAAATGCCTAGAGAAAGAGCTATAAGAATATACACCAAACTGGGTAGTGGGGAAGAGAGATGAGGGTGTACGTGGAGAATTTGTATTTCACTGCATGTACTTCTTTGCTGTTTGTGGGTTAATATACTATTTGTAGAGGGAAGGTTTACAGAGAGAGCAGCATTCCCAAATGTTCCTTGCAGAGGAAGGGGTCCTTTTCAGAATTTAGAGCCACACTTCTACTTCCCCAGCCAACTGGGCACAGTACAGTCCATGTTGGAGAATTGTCCCCCAGCTCTGGGAACTCTAGGGAAGAACGGGGTCTATCCTGCAGGTACCAGCCAGTAGGTACATGAGCCTGCCCCAGAGTGCGTGCATGGAACACCTGTCATTTCCATTGCCTCCATGGTCTTGCTCCCACACTGCTCCTGAGAAGCCTGCACAGTGTTCCCACCCCCTCACCCTATGGTATCTCAAGCCCAAGGCTGGCCTATTTTAGAAGAGCGAAATAACAGTTCTGATTGTAAGGTGAACCACTATGACAAGCAAAAACAAGAGTGACAGTAGTGTGTGGAGTGTGGTCATAGTTGTTGCCTTCATTTCTCCCAGGCCAACAAACCTCAGGAGGTTAAGGTCAGGGTTTCCTAGCATTTTCACTCTTAGGCTTCCTGGGAAATGTCAAAAGCTGCCACCCACACCTGGGAAGGGGAGAGAGAGGACACTTCTTCTGCAGGGATGGATTGGGGGGTGTGTGAAAACCAGGTGCTCTGCAGAAACACGAGAGAGAGCTCTGGAGCAGGTTCCTTCTCAGAGGGTTTAACTAAAGGGTTAACTTCTTAACTAAGAAGATTGCAACTTCAATCTTATTCAGAAGATAACATTTGAGTATCGATGTGAAAGAGATGAGAGATGAAGCTGTGTGGATGTCAGAGGGAAGAACAACTCCGGGCTCAGGGAATTGAAGGAGACAAGGTCAGAGGGAAGGAAGGAAGGTGAAGAGCAAGAACTGTCTCGACAGCTCATAGGAGCCTTGCCTTTTATTCTGGATAAACTGAAGTACCATTGACACTCTGAAAACCAATGATCAGGCTGATGTTTAACAGGATGGCTCTGGGGGCTGCACTGGAACAGATTGAAGGAGAAAGGGAGGAAGCAGGAAAACCAGGGAGGAAGTACCTGCACAGACCAAAGGAGAAATAAGAGGTGAGCATTTCTAAATTGAATGGCCAGCATCAGAAGCCCTTGGAGAGTTTATGAAAGCACAGATCCCTGTCCACCTCTGTAGGGAACAGGGGAAGGGGACGTTACCAGAACCTCTGCAGTGAGTCCTGGTCTCCTGTGAGCCACGGCAGCACACGGCGAATTACAGGAAAGGTAGAAAAATGAGACTGAGAAGAAGCTGAGCTTTGGGTCTGCTCAGTGCTGCTCAGGGCAGCAAAGACAAGAGTCCCCAGCTTACCACACCTTTTATTCAGTACATCTGGAGAAACAAATGTAACAAATGACTTGCAGAGAGTTCAGTGCATCCTGGGTAAATAAGATGTTAACAGTCCAAGAACAATGAGGAACTGAGTAGATGTTTGTTCTCCCAGGATGTTTTCAGCTCCCAGGATGTTTCTTGTCCTGGAGAATCACAGCATCACGGGATCATTGAAGTCTCAGTTGTGACGGGAGGCCAAATTGGAGTTATTCTGTAGCTGGGCTGTAAGCAAGAGAACTAGGCTAACCAAATGATTTTACCCTAAAATTATGCAGCATTGCTCCCGACACACCTCCAGTCCCAGTTTCTACTTCTGTTAGAGTAGTGCTTGAGGGCTGGGGATTTAGCTCAATGGTTCCAACACCTGCCTTGCAAGCGGAAGGTCCCGAGTTTGATCCCCGCCACCAAAAAAAAAAAAAAAAGAGTAAGGCTTGAGAATTTGGATTTATAAAATCCTCTGGTGATCATAATACTGGGAACCACACTTTGAGAACCACTAATTTTCCTTTCATAGCACTGATGAAAATGTGCAATAAACATGTTTATTGTATATCCTCAAGGAAGCACTTTGCTCACTCCTGTGTCCCAATGCCTAGTATGATGCCCAGTATGAATGTGTATTGAGGATAGGCTCTGGGCCAAGTATGGCATTAGTGAATGAAGTTCTTGAGGAGCCCTAGTTGAACTGCTGGAGGTAAGTGGTGGTGAAACTTTCAGAGGAAGTGGTCATTGGAGGGGAGGGATTCATTTTAATAACAATAATAACAGGTGTGACACCCTCCCAGTGTATCTTCAGGTGTTTTATTTAGCTTCTCCAATTAAATCCTGTAAAAGCCTTGCAAGTCTGGCATTAACATCCTTATTTTATGAATGAAGAAACCAAGGAGAGGAGAGTTTTAAGTGATTTTTCCCATGGTCACATAATGAATAGGTACCAGAATCTAGCCAGGCCCGAGAGCTCTGAGCTGTTTATATCACAGAGCACCTGAAGAAATCATTGGCCAAAGGAGATCTAGAAGTATCAAAAGGACCTCCAGAAGACAGGAACTTCCCAAGTTGGAGACTATTAACCTTCTTCAAGAATCCAGGGAACATGCCATCTTTTTTTAAAATGTCTCCTGACAACCCTGTTCACACAGGATATTCCCAGCCCCAAGTCCTTCCTGTCAGAGCCCTGGCCTCATACTAGGTAGCAATGGTGTCCACCAGAAGTGTTTCTGCTGACTTTTGTGGTTTTTATCATTCTTAGATGGTGCAGTTTTCTTTATCCTTCAATCTCTTCCTAGCTTCCTCCCTGAGGATGAGGGACGCTGTATTCTGTGTCCCAGAGCTGATGCTTGATAAATCAGGCCAGCTAATCTCTAAACAGAATCTCTCTCTCTCTATAGGAGAAAACCAAGTTTCACCATTTCCCTCATCAGTCCAACTCTTTCCCTATCCTTCCCAGAGGATAAAAATAGCTGCCTTGCAGGGCCTCACTGCTGGTGCAACAACTGCATGCTGAAGCTGGGTGTGCAGGAGAACAGCTGCTTTCCATAGACCAGGCTGGGGGCAGGGGCGGTGGTGGCGTGGGGTGGGGATCTGGTCAGGGTGTAGACCTATCCACAGGCCTGCAGAGGAGAAACTCCTTCAGTGAGGGGTTCCTGGAGCAACTCTGCCATGGTGGGAGTCTCACAAAAAATACAATACTTCAAAGCCGGTCACAGTGGTCCCTGCCTGTAATTCCAGCTCTCTAGAAGGCTTAGGCAGGAAGATCTCAAATTCAAGTCCAGCCTGGGCAACTTAGTGAGACTATGTCCCAAAATCAATAAATAAAAATTAAAAAGGGTTGGAGATGTAGCCCAGTATGAAGGCCCTGGGTTCAATCCCCAGTACTGCAAAACAAAACGCAACTTCACTGGCTGCGGCTGCTCAGAGGTGTGTATCTCTTGATTCTTAACCTCTTGATGGAAGAGGGGTGAGCCTCCCTTAGTAGTGATGCAGTGTACACATTTCTGTGTGGGTGCTCAAGCAGACACACAGATGTACATAAATGCAAACACACTGGCAAACAGACACATACACACTTTTGCACGTTATTTAATACGGTGGTGCTGGTGGGGCTGTTGAAACCTAGCATGGGCCATAGATGAACAATCCCAGGTGCAGAAGGAGTACAGAAGGAGTAAGAAATAAAAATTTGTAATATGTAAAGAAAAAGTTTATTAAAGGTCTTTCTGGAAAGTAAACATATAAAGTATAAAACCCATGAGACTGGGTATGAAAATGCTTAAGGTTATCTCCAATTGTGGGATAAAGGTTAATGTCTATTTATACGCACTTTCTTACTAAACAAGAAAGACTGCTTCTCTTTCGCAACCAGCGTGGTTGCTTGCAGGTTGGTCGGTGGGGAGGCGTCCACTGGGCAGCACGGGCGGCCGTGGTTGTTCTCCTTCGGGCCTGCGACGGGGAAAGAAGCGCAAGACAACTGACCAGCACATGCCAGACACTGCGGGGACACGGGGAGGGCCAGATGCTCTCAGAAAGGTACCCGGAGATGCCTTCGCCCCGCCTGGCCATATTAAAACCCCAAACCGAGGCCCAGCCACACGCAGCAGTGAGCGGGCGGCGCGTGCGTGCGCGCTCCCGGGGAGGCGACGCGCACGGGCGCGCCTCCGCGGACAGCCCCCAGCCGTGGACGATGCCGCCGAGAAGGCGGCGGCGGCGGCGCGCACTGGCGGTCTGAAGCGGCGGCTGGCTGCCACGGGCCGGCGGCGCGATGAGCTGGGTGACCGCCCCCGGCTCGGGGCTGTGAGGGGCTCGGAGCCGGGGGTGGGTGGCGGCACGGCGGGCGGCGGGCTCTCCTCCGCGGCGGCGGCGGCCATGCGCAGGGCGGCGCGGCTCGGGCGGCTGGGCCGGGGCCGCCTCTCCAGAGCCCGCGGCCTGGGGGTCCCGCCGCCGCTGCTGCTGCTCGCGCTGCTACCTTTGCTGCCCACGCCCGGTGCCGCCGCCGCCCCCGCCCCGCCACCCCTGGCCCTGCAGCCTGCGGCGGCAGGGCCCAGCGTGAGCCTCTACCTGAGCGAGGACGAGGTGCGCCGGCTCATCGGTGAGTGCGCCGCTTCCGGGCCCTCCCGCCCTGGGCTCGCCATCCCCTCTCGGCGCCTGGCCCCGAGGACACGGCCTCTGCCTGCCGCGCTGGCCGGGAGGTGTGGCCCCTGCCGCCCCCGCTCCTGCTCAGCCTGCCCACTTGACCCTAGCTGCCCCGGCGCCCCTAGCACCCCTCGACCACGAGGGTCGTGGGTCAGTCCCTTTTACCCTCCTGCAGCCTCCGAGTTCCCCCTCGCCTCCTGGGGTCAAGGCCCTTTGCAGCTTTCCATGTTTCCTCGACCCTCCTTGGGCCTGTCACACGAGGGCCCTGGAGTTTGGCTACTTCGAGGTTCGAATTTTAGACTAAACTGGCAAACCGGTTTTGATACCCCACTAGGCCATGACGGCGTGGTCCTACTTTCATTTACCCCTTACATACTTTTACCCCCTGCCCCCCAAAAAAGGTGATAGGGAAAGGTTATAAACCGCACAGAATGTTTCTGGCGGCCTCCAAATCTTGGGGCCGATAAGCATATTTTTATTTTTATTTATTTTTTTGGTATCGGGGATCGAACTTGGGTCCTTGTCCTTGCGAGGCAGGCGGCGGAACCACTGAGCTAAATCCCAGGCCTCAGCATATTTTTAAATAGCGGATCAAAAGCCAGGTAGTAGATCCTTTTGCTTCTTCAGTACCTTTCTGGTGTTTGTGGGTTCGTTGTAGTTTGGACTGATTTTACATTTCCAGGCCACTCACCACTGGCCTGCTTTAAATACGTTTAAACGGGAACAGAGAACATAGCTTTGGTCAGTTGGAGATTCTTTTTACCTGTTTAGCTTAATTTGGAGAATTATTTTGAAAAATGATCTTATTCTCCAGTTTGGACTTTTGTGGATTCCAGAAGTAACCCTTTGGAAGAAGGTCTGGATCCCAGAGGGAATTCTTTGCTAGTTGCAGATACCTAGACATTAGTTTCCTTTGGTGTGTTACGGCAGTGCCTTCAATTCCTCTCAAGAGTGTGGTGCTGCTGAGTGTTTGAGGGAAAAGTTACTCTTTTAAGCATCCATTCGCTGTCAGTTTTTAGGTTTTTTAAAGTTAGGGAACTTTTTTGAGGTCTATTGAGATCAGCTCAATGTTGAAATGATATTGCTTTTAGTAGACTGTTTAGATATCGTTGCATGTATGGATTTGTAGTCTTCAACCAAAGAATTGTGTGTTTGTGTAATGGGCCGTTCTTAATCCTCTTTTTGGTCTAGATGAACTGGCTGAGTTTAGTCTAGCAGAATTAAAACTGTAAATTGGGTTAGTCTTGGAACATAAGGCTGAGGAGAAATAATGTCTATAAGTTTTTATAATATTAATTAAAAATATTAGTGTATTCATGCTTTTGTAGAGTTTTTTGTTGTTGTTGTTGCTAAAAGAACTTACATCGTTTGTAACTTTCTTCACATGTGTTTCTTCTGTTTTCCCAACCATGGGTGGGTAGAGGACAGAAGACAACTAGAGGCTGCCATTGGTTGACTGTATATACCTGTCTCTGTATGCTTTATACATGTTATTTCTACTTTTCTGACCCAGTGAGGTAGGTGTTATTATTTCCATTTCAGAGGTGAGAAAAGTGAGGCTTTAAGTAAATTGCTCATTTTCACACAGTTCTTTTAAAAAAATGAAACCTAGTGTTGACATAGGGCAAAGAATCAAGTTTCATTGAATGTATTAGGTATATACAAGTTGGATTATGGCATAGTGGGAAATAAATCATTGCTGATTAGTAGTTGAAATGATGTATTTGTAAACCAGGAACTCATTTTTTATTTGAAGCCAAGGAAGCCCCTGATTGTTGAGCATTCACTTTTTTGCTCAGAAATGGGTTGTGTGTGGAGTAGAGCGGGGAGCATTGTCTGGCCAACTCCCTTATCCACCCCTGGGGTAAGAGGGACCTCTAGCAGTAGTTTCTGATTTTTTTTTGGTACCGGGGATTGAACTCAGGTCCTTGTACTTGCGCAGCAGGCGGTGAAACCACTGAGCTAAATCCCAGGCCCTAGCAGCAGTTTCTATACTGCACAAAGAGTTAACAGGGGTCTCTAGACTTACCATTCTGCCAGATCTAGGTCCTCTTTCTATCCCTTCCCATCGCCCTCACAGTCTACCTTTAAAAGACTCCTCTGTGGGGAACAGAAGGGGGTAAGATGTTTACCAGGCATCCTGAATTCTCAGAATACACTTTTTCATGGAAACTTGTGGTGTTTAAAACTTCTTGAAATAGTATTTTTGTTCCATAGTTTTGAATTGCTCTGGGTTGAATGCCTCCTGAAAGGTGCTATGGAAACTAACCATTTTATATTTCTGAGACAGTGAGTTTAGAATTCCCAGTAAGGAACTTATAAATTGACAGTGACACCTTTATTAATGAAGTAATTGTGCTTGACATGAGAATAAATTGTTTTAATCCAATTAATACATGGGCATAGTTTTAAAAAAAGTCAAATTAAGCATTAAAAGGCTTAATAGAAAATGGAATAGTGTCCTGCCTTTGGCTTTTTTAATCCTCCAAGCCCTATTTTTCAGAGTTCACTGCTATGTTAACTAATTCTTCTGTTTTTTCCCCTTGTTTTTTACTTTCATATTTCTAAACCAGTGTAGAATAGGCATCTGACTTCGTTGTATCATAATTGAGCTATTGCTCTAAGAGATGTGCTAAATGCTATTTGGTTTTCTCTTTGAAAGTAACACATTAAACCATCTGTTAGTTCCATTGAGTTTCCTCTTACACTTCTTAGTCTGGAGCCTTCCATCCACTTGCTAAAATCTGGACAGTAGAATTTCCCATCTCCTGTCTTAGATCTTCTTTTTGCCAGTATGTATATTCAGTAGCTTCCTAAGAAGGGCCACGTGGAAAATAATTATCTGAAGCCTTGGGTGTCTGAAGATACTTATGCTGTCCTCATATTTTATAGATGGCTTGGCTGAATTTAGAAATTAGGATGAAAATAATTTTTCTTCAATTAGGATTGCATCTTCACTGTTTTCTGCCCTAAGGGTTTTGGATAAAAAATCCAAAGCGATTCTGGTTCTCCTTGTTTTGAAGATTAATGTCTTTCCCTCTGCGTTTTCAAGTTGTAAAGCTTTGGTGTGGGTGTGTAGTTTGTTTCTTTTCTTTTTTGTTTTGTCTTACTGGATACTTAATCTAGAAGCTCAGAGCCTTCAGTTTTCAGAAATGCCCATTATTTCTTTGATAACATCCTACTCTTCATTTTTCCTGTTTTGTTCTTTCTTACACTTTTGTTGGTTTGGTTATTGAATCTCTTGGAATTGAACTTCAGATTTCCTTACCTTGCTTTTTATTTATTTCTTTATATTGAAAGGAATGGACCAGGAGAGAATTTCTCAATTTTGTCTTCCAGGCTTTTATTTTTAAGTGTTAATTATCGTATTTTTAAATTTTGGAATCTCTGTTGTTTCCATTTCGTTGCATTTTATGGGTGTATTATCATTATCTCTGAGGTGTGTGTGTATTGTTTTTCATTTTCTGATGTTTAATATATTTTTAATGTTTCTTTTGATTCCTCTAGTGTACTGTACCTGTTCATTTCAGGATTCTTTTCCACATTTGTGTAGATCATAAAATCTGGTGATCCCTGGCTATGTGTAATGCAGAGTGAGATGCTGAGACATTGATTGGGGGAACAGAGCATGTGTGCTGGTGATGGTGACTTTATTTCGATTGTGGAGAGACTTTTCATTGGGAGTCTGCCCCAAATGGCAGTACCTTTACATCTTCTTTCATGCTGGTCTGCAGAAAAGAAACCTCCAGACTCCTGCCTCTGGCGTGCTTGGTGATACACTGGCTACCAGGGTTTGAGTTACATGGTTGGGGGAGGAATGGAGGGGTGTCACCCTTCAGGTTGTAGACTTTGACAGTTCTCTCCGCTCTGTGATTCAGTTTTCTCAGAAAAAGCTTCAGGACTCTCCTGGACCTGAGCAGCCAGCTGTTGAATACTTGCCCAGTAGCTCCTCCCTGGTCAAGCATGAGCTTCAGGTCAGCCTTTAGTAGTCCTTTTTTTTTTTTTGGTACCGGAGATTGAACTCGGGACCTTGTGCTTGAGAGGCAGGCTGTGGAACCACTGAGCTAAATCCCTGGCCCTTTAGTAGTCCTTTTGTGCCTTCAGAGCTTAGCCTCTTAGGGGTCCTGAAGGACAGTGACCTATCCTGTAACTGCTTTTTATGTCTTAGGAAAGTTGGTTGGAATGTATGCTTTGTTGCCTTACCCTTTCTTTTGAAAAGGTTCTTGTGGTTTAATATCTTTGTGATTTCATTACTATCCCCTCAGACGAGTTTTAGAAGGAAACAAGGATAAAGGTTGTGGTCATGGAATGGGAAGCCTGGGTTTTAACTACTGAAGATGTGCAGCAGTTTTTTTGGTAAGAGTAATTTTCGGAGTAGTAGTGATGGTTGCAGTTGTAGTTGATAGTACTATTGATGTGTGGTAATGTTTTGCCTCTGTCAGACACAAAACTAATTCCTTTGTTAGGTATATTATTTTCATTTTATAGATGAATGTCATAGTCTGTTTGGGTTACTGTAAAAAAAAAACTCATAGGGCCGGGAATTTAGCTCAGCGGTTTCGCCGCCTGCTGCGCAAGCTCAAGGACCCAAGTTTGATCCCCAGTACCAAAAAATACCCCTCATAAACTAGGTACTTATAAACAACAGAAATTTTTCATTGTTCTGGAGGCTGGGAGGGATCAAAGAGATCAAAGCACTGGTAGATTTGGTATCTGGTAGGGGCCTGCTTTCTGGCCCCTAGATGGTCCTCACACTGTGTTTTCACATGCTGTAGAGGCCAGATAAGCTCCCTTGGGCATCTTTTATAAGTGCACTAATCCCGTTCATGAGGATCCTCCTCTTAGGATCTAATAACCTTCCAAAAGTCCTTACCTCTCATGCCATCATCACATCACGTTGGTAGTTAGGATTTCAACATAAGAATTTTGGAGAGAGACAGAGACTCAGAGGAAACA